GAGAACTGAGACTGTTATACTCGGGAAAATTACCGAAATTTACAGAGCCTCAAAAACGCGTGTACACGAGCCCAAGTGTAACTCGACTTTTTTGGATATTTTTATGGATATTTAAGATTACGTCATTATGTTTAAGAGTTTTCAAGGCATTATCTTAATATCTTATCTGAATATCATTCACAAAGATTCAATACGTTTTTGATGAAGATCTTGGTTATAAAAAACCATGATACTTCATCCAGAAATATTTGAAAGAGCATTTGATATTTTGAAAGTTATGAAGGGAAGAGTGTCTAAGTACGGGATAAAGCAGATTTTCAGGAAATCANTGCACACGTTTAATATACGCCTTATAATCCTGATCAATCAGGTATTTAGAGCGTCCGCGCAGAAGACGAAACGTTAAATAGTCCAACCGATTTCCACAACGCTTCCACTTTTTATGCGCTTTATACTTTTCCTTTATTACTTTTATTGTGCTCTTAGAGAACCAAGCCGGGTAACCATTCACAGGATGGCATTTGTGTCGTACAAATTTTTTAATGGCTAAAGACAAATGATTATAGAAAATATCCGTAGCAGTGTTGACATTATTTACATCTGCAAATACGGTTTCCCAATTAATATCATTAAGGTAATCACTGATATCATTAAAAGCAGCTCGTTTAAAGTTATAAGTAGTAGGAAGTCGTTCAGTGAGGTTGATTACAGGTGCAATACTGCACGTCAACTCAAGTGACGAATGAGCTACGTCTTCTGGAAGTAGAGAAGAATCGCTCAGTTGAATTCTAGATACAGTTACAAAGCGTTCCAAGACCAAATCTAACGTGTTGCCAGATATGTTTTTAAAAGAGTTATGCTGATTAAATTCACAAAGTGAAAGGACGTCTAAGAAATCAGTTGAACGTGGGCTAGCAGGAGAGGCAGTACACATTCCAAAACCATCGATATTCCAAACTATCTCGGGCAAGTTGAAATCGCCATAAATCAAAAATTTATCATCACGGAAGCGGTCAACAATGTGTCTTAATTCATTACAAAATACATTTAATGCAACATTATCATTAGGAGGAATGTAGATACAACAAATATGCAGTTTGCTTATACGCTTATCGCAATAAAGTGTTACACAAATAGCTTCATTGGCTGGAAACCAGTCTGACCTCTGAACACTGCGAAGACTCGCACTAACACCTATCAGCACACCACCCCCCCGAGACACACCACCCGGAACCGCACCAACACGATCTCTTCTGTAGATGTTGTAGGAAGTAGGAAGAACCTCAGCCGAATTGATACCAGGGTGGAGCCATGTCTCCGTTAGGCATAGCACATCGACGTTGGTATTTAGCGCATTATTATAAATAGTAATCAGTTTGGTACGAACGCCACGGACGTTTTGATAATATACTGAAAGGCCAACCATTTTTGAGCGTTTGTTTTATTAATTCTTTTTAATTATTATATTAAATTAATTATTTAAAGGCGTGAGAGGTCATCAGGAGATCTTATATGGACTACCGGCGATGATTCATTCTTTCTGGCAAAAATCTTGCAATCACGTGTCCATACAAAGCGATAGTTTTTATCTTTAGCAATCCCTCTCGTTCGAGCAAACAAGGCCTTATTAGCCGGCGTCAGATGATCATTAACGAAACAGCTCTCCCCCACCCCCTCAATATGCAAACCCTGTCGAGAACCAGGTACGGACTTCCTTTTGTTGATTGCCGCCGCCAAAAAAGCATCGCGCTTTAGGCGGCTGCAAAACCGCATCACTATGGCCCGTGGAGCTTTATTTTGCTTATCAAAGTGTGGAACACGATGAATGGCATCAACGTCTGTCGATGAGAATTGGACTCCTACATGTTTAGCAATGTTGTCTACAATAGACAAGAGATTTTCATTTTCACGTTGGGGAACACCATGAATTTCAACATTACTCCTACGGGAGTACTGCTCAACCTCATCCAGCCTCGTAGTCAAACTCGTTACGTGCTCTCGTAAGCGGCTATTTTCAGTGGTTAACTGATCAACCATTTTTATCTTTCCATTCAAGCAACACAAAAGTTAGGATAATTATATAGATATTTATTAATAATGAGTTAAAAAGCAACTGAAAAAAATGGTTAAGTATCACAAATTGTATTCTACATTGTTAGTTTAGTTTTTTTTAAATTTATTTTTATTTAATTTATTTTAATCATTGTTTCTATCAGTTGTGTTCAATCTGAGGGTAATAAATACAATGTTCAAAGCAGATAATATATTCCTTTTAGCATCAAAGTCTGGTAAACTGACTTCTGCTCATATGAAAAATTGGCTACAAATTGTCTATTTCCCAAACACCGGGCCCAAATCATTACTATTACTGGATTTTTGGAGTGGCCACTGCCCTGAAATTATTAGTGAAGTAACTCCATCGGATGTTAAGTTTAAATATTTGTCTATACCTGCAGGGACAACAGGTCAAATTCAACCCCTGGATGTATTTGGTTTTAGAATATGGAAAAATTTCATTAGAAGATTTTCTGATCAAGTTATTCTCTACCAGTACGATGTCAATTTGCATCAGCGAGATAATATTTTAAAATTGCAATCCTTAACGCATAACCAGTTGTCTTCCCCACGATTTATTAATGTTTTTAAATACGCCTGGTTTGCATCTGGATATATAGAGGAGAGACCAGAACAGTTTGAAAATCCCGTGGAGGTTTGCTTTTCCAATGAAAAACCTACGTGCGATATCTGTGGAGATATAGCTGTTATAACTTGTGCATGGTGTAAACAATCGTTGTGTTTAAAACATTTTTTCCATGATTTTCATTATTGCCAACAATATATTGAATAAAAAAAGTAAAAAAAAAGAAATTAAATTAATAATGTAGAATACAATTTGTGATAGTCAACCATTCTTTTGTCAGTTACTTTTTAACTCATTATTAATAAATATTTATATAATTATCCTAACTTTTGTGTTATTTAAATAGAATAAGGATAAAAAACATTTTTCTGTAGGAGTATGAAAGTTATTAGCGAAAATATATTTTCTACCCCAAACTTCTAACCCTTGTAAGTTCTTACAATAGTACTACCTAACGTATAAAAAAATCATCGTGGGAAATTGCACCAAAATCGACAAACAATTTTCGCAAAAAAAATTAATTTTTGGGGTGGTTAGGGTAGTTAACCCCAGCCACCCCTTAATGTCGTATAGGGTTTATTTTACTGCGTAAATCTTAATTTACATCTAATTAATGGTTTTCTTCAAAATATTGTTCAAAAGTGTAACAGTTTATCACATTATTCTTAAGGAAAGGGGTTATCTATCATACCCCGTAACTTTGCAGGGGATGGTCAGAGGCAAATAAGAAAAAACACGTCATTAATATTTTTAAACGTACTATAAGGACACATAATATCGCCAAAATCGACAGGGTAGTTTTTAAAATATTCCAAAAAACTAGGGGTAGTTTACCCCCTGAAGCCCTCAGATATATGTGTGATATATCAATGGAAAGCTCTTTGAAAATGAATATCAGTTTACATTTACCACATTTCGATAGCTATTTTCGTTTTCAGCCTATAAGCGAATATATATATTTCGCCCCGATTTCCAACCCTTATAACTCGCCCCAGGGGCTTTATTAGCACGTATAAAAAAATACGTAAACCTTATTTTTGACCATACTATAGCTGTACCAAATTTCAACAAAATCGGTGAGGGACAGTTCTGATACTTCCCTTGTGAGATTGGTTGTATAAACTTAAAGGTTATTACTTAAACACACTATGGACCCGAAACACACAGAGAACTGAGACTGTTATACTGGGGAAAATTACCAAAATTTACAGAGCCTCAAAAACGCGTGTACACGAGCCCAAGTACGTAGCGCGTGGTGCTATTTTAACAGTAGTACAAAATGCATGTGATTATTTATTTTTATCTGGTGGGCGCTGGTTAACAACAAAATCTTGGTTTTACGTTTCCATAAACTTTATTATTAATTACACTTAAACTATACATATAAATTGCGATTAGTTATATAGGGAGCCTTGCTCCGCGTGTGTTGAAGGGGTACTGTTTCGGTGGGTGTTAAATCGAAGACTGAATAACTGATACGAGTTGAGCTCGCAGGCTCCTTCTTTATTTTAGGTCATAACTAAAAACTCTTACCTAAACACCGAAATATACACCCCAACGCATTCCCACACTTAACTCCACCCAATAAATAATGCGATAAAAGACCCTAATATTGCGACTCGAGACACTTCAAATCTAGACTAAACAAATGAGGCGATACAAATAAATCCAATATAAATGAACTAATATAATATAAACCTATCAAATCTAATATAAATTAACCAATATAATATAAAATCTAACAGCATGCATATTTTAACATAAACTTTGCATATTTTTATACGAAATTTGCATATTTTCTTATATTTACTCCATATATATGCGCATATTTTGCATAAATTTTGTACATAAAATTCCGGACTCTACTTATGACTATGACTAAAACACTTTGCATGAACCCACCTTGAACTATCGAAACGTAGAGTTTTGACAGTCCAAAAAAGGGCGTCACACCTAAACATTTTTCGCCCGCGGCGCGTTTTTTAAGGAAAGTAGATCAGTGCCCCTCCTGTGGAAATTCCTTAAAAAATGCCTTGCTACTTTCTCTACAAATGGGCGTCCAACTATCGTTCCTTTGGTAAAACATTTATTAATTTTATAAAATTTTTCATACATTTTTTGTGTTTTTAGAACTCCGCTTGGGTCGGATGGGTTGGAAGAGCTGACGAAACGAGTGCTATTGATGTCAGAAAATTACGAGCGATATGTTGTTGATATTAATGAAAAACAAATATGTTTTTAAACACTTTATGTTACAAAATAAAGCTATCTTAAAATCGTATTAATTAAAAAAATTTCCTCGTGTTGATAACATGATTAAAAAAATAGTGTTTCGAATCATATAAAAACCCCTTACAAACTTACTTCATCATAGTCAATAAATATCTATGTGAAGATGTTTCAAAAATTACTCATTTTGTGTCTTTTCGGGTTCGTTTTTTCTTTGAGAAAAGAATTGACTCCCGAACAATGTAAAAATAGGGTTTTGAAACGATTACATCGATTTTAAAGAATTTGTTTTAGTGGAAAAATTATCTTCATGGAAAAATGGAAATAAGCACATGTGGATGGAAAGTGGACAAATTGAAGGTGACATGGTGTTTCGTCCCGAGCAAAAAAACGGGCTCATAGATACCCAATATAGATGGGAAAATAATGAGATTCCATATGAAATCGATGATGCTTTTAGTAAATATTTCTCTTTAAAGAAAATCTTGTTTTGAATCAATTCTTTTAGGCGATGATGAAAAATCGATTATTCACGAAGCCGTTAAAGAATTCGCTTCTTTTTCGTGCGTAACAGTTCGCCCAAAAACTGAAGCTGATGTAAATTATGTCTACGTAACGGTAATATATTTTTTTAATACTTATTTGGGGGATTAATTAAAAAATAAATTTTTGTAGGGTGAAGATACGGGTTGTTGGTCTTGGGTTGGACGTTTAGGAGGTCAACAACAATTAAATTTGCAAAAAAATGGCTGTCTTTGGCATAATACCATTGTCCATGAATTTCTTCACGCTGCTGGATTTTATCACGAACAAAGTAGTACTGAACGCGATGATTATATTCGAATCGTTTGGGAAAATATCATCGCAGGAATGGAACATAATTTTGATAAATACGATGCGGATGTCATCACCAATTTTGAGCAACCTTACGATCTGTTCAGTATTATGCATTATGCTGAAACAGCTTTCTCTTCGAATGGTGAAGCTACAATTGTTCCGTTAAATGAAAATTTTATTGGATTAGTCGGTAAAGCCGAGATTATGAGTCCTATTGATATCATCAAATTGAGATTAATGTATAATTGTGGATTATCAAGGAAAAATAAATAAATGATTGATACCTATCCACTTAAGATTTTATCACCAAAATAAACACCGATCAATTTGGTTTATTTCCAAACCTTGTTATGTCACGAACTCTCTTAAAGATAAATAAATACAACCGAAAAAAATAAATTAGTTTTATTAATAGAATTAGATTAAGTAACGTATATATATAAATTAAAGAATTACTTAAAAAACAATACCTCCCAAAATGTTATCTAAGATCGTCATATTTTCGGTTCTTTTAGTTTGCGGGTTCGCAAACAGAAGAGAATTAACTCAAGAGCAACGTAAATATCATTAAATTTAATTAAAAATAAATAAAAATTTTATATTTGTTATATTAGTTAAAAAATTAGCGTCTTGGGAAGATGGCAAAAAACATATGTGGGTTGAAAGTGGACAAATTGAAGGTGATATGATCCTCCAACCGGGGCAAAGAAATGGGCTCATTGATACCAGATATAGATGGACCAATAATGAGGTTCCATACGAACTCGATCCTGCTTTCAGTAAAATAATTAATATTAACTGGGTAATTTAAACAAACTAATTTCATTAATTTAATTTAAAGATGAAGAAGAAGCTGCAGCAATTCACGAAGCCGTCAAAGAAATTGCCAATGTTTCTTGCGTAACGGTTCGTCCAAGAAGAGCAGGGGAACAAAATTACGTTTATGTTACTGTAAATATTTAAATTATAATTAATTTTATTATTCATGAAGATATATTAGGGTACAGATACTGGTTGTTGGTCTTGGGTTGGAATGTTGCGTGGTCGTCAAGAATTAAATCTTCAAAGACGCGGTTGTATTTGGCATGAAATTATCGTCCACGAATTCCTCCACGCAATCGGTTTTTACCACGAACAAAGTAATTATAACAGAGATGATCATGTAACGATTCTCTGGGAGAACATCATTCGCGGAATGGAACACAACTTTGATAAATTTGGCGAAGATTATATCACCACGTTCGGACAACCTTATGATTATGGAAGTATCATGCATTACCACGAAACTGCTTTTACTAATAATGGAGAACCAACAATTGTGCCACATGTAAATCAAAAACATTAATATTTTAGTATATGAAATAACACAGTCTCCTCATTATTATGTTTAATCATGATCAATCGACGTTACGAGCTGTTGTAGGTCCATCATCAAGATTTCACCGAGAGTTGATATCTAAAAATGTTTTATTTATTATTTTCGTAAATGTTTTTGATGTCAATACGGCTCTACTAGTGGTGCTTACGAGAATCTCGTCTAGTTTTCGTGACGATACTCGGACAAGACATTCATTGGTCTCGTCTCGACTCTCGCGCATGAGGTCTTGCGTTTCGTACGAGAGTCTCGCAGGTAAGTATTTCTGCAAATAAAATCTGCAATATTTCTGTAAATATTTTCGTATCTACACGCTGGAATTCCAGTAATATGTTGAAAGTACCTCTTGAAAAAGGTAGACATGTACAGGGTGGTTCAAATTTGATGTCCGAATAGGCTAACTCGAAAACTATAAGAGTTAGAAGAAAAGTAGCTGACATGTCATGATCTCGTTTTTCGAGAAACTGCTAATGCCGAAAACCTCATAGCGCTATCGTCTTTTGTTTTTCCGCTAGANAGTCCTCATTATTATGTTTAATCATGATCAATCGACGTTACGAGCTGTTGTAGGCCCATCACCAGGATTTCACCGAGAGTTGATATCTATAAATGTTTTATTTATTATTTTCGTAAATGTTTTTGATGTCAATATGGCTCTACTAGTGGTGCTTACGAGAATCTCGTCTAGTTTTCGAGACGATACTCGGACAAGACTTTCATTGGTCTCGTCTCGACTCTCGTGCATGAGGTCTTGCGTTTCGTACGAGAGTTTCGCAGGTAAGTATTTCTGCAAATAATATCTGCAAAATTTCTGTAAATATTTTCGTATCTACACGCTGGAATTCCAGTAATATGTTGAAAGTACCTCTTGAAGGTAAACATGTACTTGGTGCATTGCGTCAAAATGTTGATTTAAAACCATATGCTCTTGAGGACAAAGAATGGATACTGCTAGAAGAAAAGTGTATAAATTACTAGTCAACTTTCAAATACTTTCTAAGAAACTCAGAAAAGAGAAGTACGTCAAATTACCTATGGTGGTTGTATGTATCAATATACTAATAGATAATATTGAGAGCAAAAGATTTGCATGGGACCTAAAAGCAGATCGAAACGCTGTCGAAAAGCAGCTTATTGTTAGTTTATAGGCTGCGAGAGACAAAATATTAAAGCATTATCGTAAAACTAATTAGATTTATGCTCCAGCTTTAATTCTCGATTCGCGGCATAAGATAGAAGTTGACAGGATGGAGCCAAGAATTAAGAGATTTCGATTAAGAAATTTAAAGATGTATATCAAGATGTACAGGGTTTTCCAATAAGAGGTGTTATTTTGATATTCAAAGAAAAATGCCATTTTTTAGTATAAATGATCGGATGTTTATTTCATTATAAAGAAGAAGGTATGCCGTTAATAGTGGAAAATAACATTAGGCAAATGACCACCACGACCACGCTTACAGGACAATATCCTTTCCATGAAATTTTCCATAACCAAATTGCAAAGTGGCTGTCCTATGTCCTCAATAGCCCCACGAATTCCATCTTTGAGGTCTTGAATCGACGCTGGGCTGTTGGCGTACACCTTTTCTTTCACGTGGCCCCAAAGGAAGAAGTCGCTTAAATCACAAGATCTCGGTGGCCAATTGTGATCACCTCTTCGAGAGATAACACGGTCCGGAAACTTTTCCCGTAAAAGATCAATGGTTTCGTTGCTTGTGTGGCACGTAGCACCGTCTTGTTGAAAGTAAACGTTGTCTACATCAATACCATCCAATTCCGGCCATAAAAAATCATTAATCATCTCTCGATAGCGCAATCCATTCACGGTAACTGTTGCTCCAGCCTTATTTTCGAAAAAATAAGGTCCAATGACTCCGACGGACCATAAACCGCACCAAACAGTCACACGTTGAGGATACAGAGGCTTTTCAACAATAACTCTTGGGTTTTCCGAGCCCCAGATGCGACAATTTTCCTTGTTGACGAAGCCACCGAGGTGGAAATGGGCCTCATCACTCAAGATGATTTTTCGATGGAATTCCGGATCATTTTCATGCATTTCAACGACCCAATCAGCAAAGACACGACGTTGTTGATAATCGGACGGTTTGAGTTCTTGTGTTAACTGAAGTTTATAAGCCTTAAGACCCAAATCTTTATGCAAAATACGGTGTAATGACGTTTGTGGAATGCCTAATTCCAAAGAACGACGAGGAATGGACAAACCTGGGTTTTCTTCAACACTTTNAATGCCGACTATGTGCGGAGGAAGCAGAGACGGTTGAGCATGTTTTATGTCACTGCCCTGCCGTTAACCGTATCAGATTCTCGATTTTTGGATCGCAGTTTATCTCCTCAAAAGATCTGAATGACCTTTCGCCGAGCAAGGTATTAATGATCGTTAAGAGCATTGGACTGCACGGTGAAATTTGATAACGATATCTATCGGAGTACAATAGATCCTTAGGGTCGCGGTGCAAGGTTGGTTGGTCCGCCTACCCGATATGTATTCTATGTAATGTAATGTAATACCTATAATAATAACCAACATAATTGCACTTATTGGTTTTACGATATTTTCAATTTTGGCCTCTAGAGGAAAAACAAAAGACGATAGCGCTATGAGGTTTTCGGCATTAGCAGTTTCTCGAAAAACGAGATCATCACATGTAAGCTACTTTTTTTTTAACTCTTATAGTTTCCGAGTTAGCCTATGCGGACATCGAATTTGAACCATCCTGTATTTGGTGCATTGCGTCAAAATGTTGTTGATTTAAAACCATATGCTCTTAAGGACAAAGAATGAATACTGCTAGAAGAAGTGCATAAATTACTAGTCAACTTTCAAATACTTTCCAAGAAACTCAGAAAAGAGAAGTACGTCAAATTACCTATGGTGGTTGTATGTATCAATATACTAATAGATAATATTGAGAGCAAAATATTTGCATGGGACCTAAAGGCAGATCGAAACGCTGTCGAAAAGCAGCTTATTGTTAGTTTACAGGCTGCGAGAGACAAAATATTAAAGCATTATCGTAAAACTAATTAGATTTAAGCTGCAGTTTTAATTCTCGATTTGCGGCATAAGATAGGAGTTTTTGATATGACAAGATGGAGCCAAGAATTAAAAGAGATTTCGATTAAGAAATTTGAAGATGTATACAAAGCGTATTTCTATCAATCAGAAGGCCAACATCGAAAGTAACGGCAAGATTCTAGAGCGGAAAAGTCGGATTTTGTAATTGTTTTTGATGTTTTGTACGCAGTAAATCCTACGCCTTCCGAAGGACAATGGATGCAGGAGCTGCAAAAATACACTGGGTTTCAAAAGAAATGAACCACCCAGAAGGAGGAAACGCATAACTTCAAAATTACGTAGAAATAGTTAGTGCCTAGAGACAAACAAATGATTAAATTTTCATAAACAAATGACAATATTTATTGACAATATCGTTAATAATGTGTTGCATCTCCGCATACTCTTATACATTCAGTAACCCTTCGTGGCATGCTGGAAATCAGATGGTCGATTGCCTCTTGGGGCAGCTCATTCCAGTCTACCTGTAGCTGTTGACGTAATTCCTCTAAAGTGTTGGGAGGATGGGGTAATCAACGCAATATTTGTCCATCATATCCCAGACATGTTCAATAGAGTTTAAGTCCGAATGACAATAATCACAAACAAACGGCGAACTACTCCGAAAAATACTATTCAACAACACGCAATTTCAGGACCTAACAGACAGATAATTTCTAACAGCTGTGGCAGATGACCGTCAAAATTTAATCATTTGTTAGTCTACATGGACTAACTGATTCTACATAATTTCAAAGTTCTTCGCCTACTCCTACGGGGTGGTTCATTTCTTTTGAAAAGCAGAATATTATTCTAAGCCGCTGTGTAATAAAGACACAGATATATTACAATGGTGGAAAATTCATGCTTCTGAATTTCGTATTTTAAGTTTAATGGCACGAGATCTCAGACTTCAGTCCCAGCGGAAAGGTTATTCTCACGTGCAGCATTAACTACAGTGATACAATAAAGTCTACATACACCCCAGAAAATGATAATATTTCAGCTCCTGAAATGTAATTCAATGAATTTTTTAAACGAAGGATATTCGAAGTCTATATTATTTTAATACAAAGTTCAAATAGTTCGACTTGTGCTACGAACTGAAGGCTACAGCAATAGATTTAGTCGCACCTCTCTCAAAACAGCTAAACCCGAATATTCTAGTTCTAGGTCTTGTTTTATATATTATCTTATACTAACTAGCGCTACTTACCACTGTCTCTAGAACTAACATTAGACCTAGAACTAGAAACATTCGGGCTTAGCCGCACGTCTCTCAAGACTGCTAAACCCGAATTATTCTAGTTCTTGGTCTAGTGTTAGTTTTACTTTTGGTTCAATAAAAATATACAACAACATAGCGCTGAATTACAGTTAAAACTAGAACTAACACTGGACCTAGAACAAGAAGTTTCGAGTTTAGCCGTTCGTCTACTAGAATGTTTCTAGTTCTAGGTCTACTGTTAGTTCTAGTTTTACACTAGCACTGTTATCTATGTAGAACACTATACCTAGAACTAGAATCATTTGGGTTTAGCCGCACGTCTGTAAAGACGGCTAAACCGGCTAAACCTCTCTTCCAACTCTTACAGTCGGTACGATATTTGTTGAGCCAAAATTCCCAGAAAGGAAAAAATCAATGACGTTCTATTCTCGGAAAGCAACGGTTAATCACGGCTTGATATTTACAAGCAGTGGCGTACCTTTAAACTATTCACGATAAAGAAACGCTCATTGCAAGTATAAACACCAACTTGCTATGCCGCCGCCAATGACTTTCGGGGTGTCCGATGTTATAGATTCCAAGAATCTGACGTAGCCTGGTTTTCTGAGAAATTTGGCTCAACAAATATCGTACCGGCTGTACATTATAGCAAGTATTTAAGTATTCCTTATGAAACAATACTGAAACAATAAGACTATGCATGACGAGATTTCGATACTTTTATGAAACGAGACTTGATACAAGACTT